CTCTTTTCTGGGAGATTTCCTAACTTCTCAGAAGTATGCTGTAGCATTAATAAGTTCCATTGGTATCTTTTACCTCTGGTAACTGATCACAGTCCAGCTGCATTTCCATACTGTGGGTGATATCCAGGAATCAAAATGTCCATCCAGGAATCAAAGACTTGACAACCCCATCTTCTCATCCTTCCTTTTCTCAAATCATACTTTCACCATATTTCAGTGAGTCAAGGTTGACCTAGCGAATCCCACTTCTGACACCAATGCTTTCTGAGGGCCCAAGACGACCCTTGTGTTCAGTGGTTCAGATGAAGAACTCAAAGAACTCAGCAAAGTGGTCATACACATGGTCACAGTTTATTACAGAAAAAGGGTACAGGTGAAAACCTGCAATGGAAAAAGGTACATAGGGCAGGGTCCAGAAAACGTCAGGCACAAGTTTCTGGTTGTGATATGGAAATGGAATTAATTCCATTAATTTTCCCTGTACAACATGTGACAATATACACAGAGTATTGCCCGAAAGGAAACTCTGAGCCTTGATGTCCCAGAATTTTACTGGGGGTCAATGGTGTAGATATAGTTGGCTATCCATGTGGCTGACCTTAGTTCAACCCCTCCAGAGACCAAAGTGAGATTCATTCCAGATCCCCCAGAATGAATCACATTTGTTGGCAGAGAATATCTGATATGGTCCTTGACTCCCATTAAATGAAAACACTTGCATTAGGCAAAATATTCCAAGGACTTGGAGGTACCGGTACCTCTGCGGAGCCTAGAAAGAGATAAATTGTTCTTTAGAATGAGCAAGACTTAGATAATCCAGACTTGCTGAGTTAATTCTTTACTGCATAATATCCACCGACATATACTGGTGGTTCTCCACTCAGCCCCCTTTACTAACTAGTGCTCCACCCCACTGCTGTGTTTGCTGCTCTTAGGTCACAGCTGTCTGTTCTTTTCTCCAGACAAATGCCCTCAGCTGATAGGTGCTGCCTTCACCCACCTCTTAGCCACCACTTCTCTCTCCCCTTTTCTCCTTGGAGGAGCCACAGCCACTGACTGACTGGCACAGATACATGGGACAAACTCAATAGTGCAATTCACCTTGCAGAGCCAACTGCAGTCAGAGTCAGGTTAGAGTCCAGCCAAGACCACAACCTTGTTTAGATTTTATCCCGGCCCTGTCCTGCTTCCCTTTCCTCACTCCCCAAAAAGTTGTCCTCCTGAGAGCACTCCCTCTGCAAATAATGTGTACACTCTGCTTTTAGGAATTATGACCAGTATCAGGCACAGTACCTGGCACTTAATAAATGATTGTTGAATGAAAAATAAACTCTGGTTCCGTGCAGTGGTGCATGCCTGTTATCCCACCCGTGATACAGGCCTGTAATTCCAGTGACTCAGGAGATTAAGGCACAAGTTTCACAAGTTTGAGTCCTGCCTCCGCAAATTAGTGAGGCCCTCAGCAAGTTAAAGCCTGTCTCAAAACAAAAAATAAAAAGGGCTAGGGATGTAGCTCAGTGGTAAAATGCCTCTGGATTCAATCCCTGTACCAAAAAGACAGAAAAATAAACTGAGTAAATCACAAATGGAACTCTCTAAGAAACGTATGCAGAGCACCTGGCACACAGCAAATCCTTTTTTTTTAATATATAAAATTTTTATTCATTAATATATCTTTTTAGTTATACATGACAACAGTATGTATTTTGACATATCTTACATACATGAAGTATAACTTCCCATTCTTGTGGTTGTGCATGTGGAGTTACACTGGTTGTGTATTTATCTATGAACACAGAAAAATTGTGTCTGATTCATTCCTCTGTCTTTCCTATTCCCATCGGTCATCCTTTCCCTTTATTCCCCTTTGTTTAATCCAATGAACTTCTATTCTTCCCTCACCATCCACCAATTGTGTGTTAGCATCCGCATATCAGAGAGAACATTTGACCTTTGTTTTTGGGGGGATTGGCTTATTTTGCCTAGCATAATAGTCTCCAGTTCTATCCATTTACTTTCAAATGCCATAATTTCATTCTTCTTTATAGCTGAGTAATATCCCATTTTGTGTATATAAATGTATGTATACACACACACACACACACACACACACACACACATATATATATATATATATCCAATACATTTTCTTTATTCATTCATCTGTTGAAGGGCACCTAGTTTGGTTCCATAGCTTAGCTATGCACACAGCAAATCTTTAAGGAGGATTAGTCACCCTCCATTCACCAACCTCTTGCATTATATAGTTTCCTCATCTTGGTGGAATCATTGGGATATTAACCTCAGATCTGTATGACCAGGAAAGAAATCTTACTCATGCATCCAGAATTGATCTGGCTTGGACAATCTTAAACCTCAATATTAATGTGCTTATTTACAAAGACAATTGGAACTTATGGGGGCAAAAAGCTAGGATCCTCCCTTATACTCTATCCTCTGTTATATATACCCTATCCCCTGTTATACCTGATCCCCTTATAGACAAATATATTTCAAAAGTCTAGTTGCTAGATAAAAAGAGCCAGAGTAAGAGAAATCGGTGGATGGTCCCAAGGGCTAGTGGTTTTGACTCTATGTTCTGCCAAGCCTGTTGTATGATCCTGATCCTTTTTATCTATTTCCTCTTCTTAGGGGCTGTATGGTCACTGTCTTCCTTGCCCCTACCCCCATCACTTTTCCTTTGAAGTAAGATATGGGCACAATGACTCATTTCTACTCTTTTAAGTCACTATACCACGATGTTGTGGAACACATACTATCCATTTACAGATTATCAGTGGAGATTTGTTTCTCTTCTAGGTGAACAGGCCCATCATTACATGTTTATCTTCCTTAATTTAAATATCAGAGGGTAAACTTAACCTGCAATTTGGTGCCTGCAATCTGTAGTTCTCTTAAGTATATAGCCCCTGTCCCATTTCTGGAGCCCTAGCATCCATAACACATCCCCTAAACTATAGTGCTTAGAGGACACCTAAAAGGCCCCCTCCTATCCCATCCCCATTTGGCAGGTCACCTGAGATCCCAGCCCCAGAAAACCTCAGGTTGTATCCTGCATTCCAGGGATGCAATTCTGAAAAACCCCACCCACACCTCACTCTCAGGGAAGAGAGACAGGGACAGAGAGATTGAATGGCTTGCTCACTCCTGCCTTGACAAACAGTTCTGGGAACTTACAGGAAGAAGAAAGCGTCCCCTCCTCCCTTGGACAGCTGCCCAATCAGTGTTAGTTAATTTAAGGAAGGCAGAGTTGTCCTCTGCCTTCCTGACAACCCAGATCCCATGGGAGGGCCCTAGGACAAAGAGTGAGCAGAGGCAAGAGGATGAGTCTTAGTTCTCAGAACTCACCTGCTTGCTGGCTAAACTAGGCCACTAGAGCTTATGAGGCCAGACCAGCTGTAGCCCCCTCCCTCTCCCAGGGTCCTACCTGGTAACAGGTCACAATGCCCCAGCTGTTCAGTCCTAGAATGGCTGATCAAAGTGGGAGGAGGTGAGAAGGGTTAGTGGGTGGGCAGGGTGGGGAGGGGAAGATACCCAGGAGCCAATTCCCTATACTCTGAGCTCACACTTGAGGATCTGCTAGACACCTACCCCCTCTTCCTCTCCACTCCTCCTCCCTGCTTCCAGCACTAGCTCTTCCCATCACCTCCAACTCCTCCATGACCCGGCTCTGCTTACCCAGGACCAAAGCCCTTGTAGATCTGAATCCACTCCCTTCCAAGGGCCTAGGTGCTGGGGAGGGATTGGGAAGTCCAGTCCATCCATGTGTGTCCCCCTGGCACCCTAGCCAGGCCCAGCTCCTGGACAGTGTCCTGGGGCTGGGGGCGCTAGGGCTGACAATTCGAGCAATCTTTTGCTCAGCTGGCCCAGCCCTGCTGCTGCTGCTGCTACTGGTCAGCTTCCTCACCTTTGACCTGCTCCACAGGTAAGTGGGCAGCAGCCTGGTAGATGGGCATTGTGCGCAGGTGGGCAAGTGGCTGACTTCCCTAAGCGCAGCTGCTTTCCCTTTTTCTCCACAGGCCCTCAGATCCCACCATACCGCAACACAGACTTATCACAAGGGGCCAGAGTCAGGGGGCCGGTGAGGGTCCAGGACAGCAAGTGGCTCCTCTCCTCCCAACGGGGGCAATCCCAGGACAACTCAGCCTCCAAGACTCACTACTCCTGCTGGGCCTGGGCCTGGGGCTGCTCCTGGGAGCCCGAGGCATGCCCTTGGCCCTGCTGGGTGTGGCTTTCTGTCTCCATCCTTGGGCTTGACGGCTCTCCCAAAATACTGAGTGCCCTCCAAAAATACACTTGTCATCCTGCTTCTTGAGGCCTCCTTTCTTCCATCCTGCTGCTGGTGTGGAGGAGAACACTTCTTTATTCTTAGCCTGAATCTCAGAGGATCTATGGCTCCACAATTCGGACAGTGGATGGCTGGGTGTGGGGCTTGGGACCAGCAAGAAAAGGCAGGATACGAAGCAGGGGGCTCCAGGCAGGAAATGTCAGGCTTCTCAGGGCCTGCAGGTTGGGGACAGCCATTCTGGCCTCCTCTGTGGTTCTAGAAAATGAGGGTCCAGAGAGGAAAACTTGCAAGAGAGTAGGGTGGGTTGGTATCAATCATAAGAGAAGGGGCAGGGATGGGAAGGGCTTCCCACAAGAAAGTCTGAGAAACTACCTCTGTTGGATTCCCCAGGGCCCCCTGCTAGCCAGGAGAGTCCATAGAGAGGGACTCTACAATGGCTCCTCTCTTGGCCAGACCCCACCCCAGCCCGGGTCACAATGGGGCTCCTCTGGGGAGGTGGGGGAGGGCTCGGATTGGCGGCCAGCCTGTCCTGGGTGCAGCAGGAAGCAACATGACTTAGGTGGCTCTATCCAAAGGTAAGACTTGCTCAAAAACCCTACCCTGCCCACATTGATGCCCCCCTGTCCCATGCACTCCCACCTGCCCTGAGGTCCCAAGCATCTCCAGGGCTGCTCCTGCAGCTGGCCTGGCCCTATCCACAGGTGCACCAGCCGTGATGCAGCAGCCACGAGTGGAGACGGATCCCATCGGGGCCGGCGAGGGGCCGCAGCGGGCGGTCCCCTGGTCCGTCTGGGTCACCCGGCAGGGCTGGGTGCGCTGGTGGGTATGCCACGTGCCCCAGAGCTGGGCCCAGTGGTGGACCACATCAGGTTTGCGGCAACCCCTGCAGCGCGTGCTGTGGGGTCTGGAGGGGATACTCTACCTGCTGCTGGCTCTGATGCTGTGCCACGCACTCTTCACCACCGGTACCCACCTGCTCAGCTCCCTCTGGCCTGTGGTGGCTGCCATGTGGCGCCATCTGCTGCCTGCCATCCTGCTGCTGGTGCTAAGTGCCCTGCCTGCCTTGCTCTTCACGGCCTCCTTCCTGCTGCTCTTCTCCACACTGCTGAGCCTCGTGGGCCTCCTCACCTCCATGACTCACCCAGGCCGTGCTCAGGACTTGGACCAATAGAAGGGCATCCCCATTCCGCTGCCTGTGTCTGTTGAGCCCTGACCTAGGGTGTGAGCCCTGGGGAGAGGGAGGGGAGAGGGACCTCAGCAGGCCCCAGACTCTAGTCTCAACACAAGTCAAAGCTGTGTGGTGTGACTGGAGCCAACAGGTAGATTGGCCTGGCCTCTTGCACCTTCCTCAGGCTGCTGCTGCAGGTACCTGGTGTGAGGGCCAGGCTTTGAGGACACAGGACAGATGGCTTGGCCAAGGGCAGAGCTTGGTCAAATCACTGAGAGCACCCATGTGGATGTGGTAACATCGCTGGGGTTGCCTTGGCAACTGGAAGCATCTTTTTGACACAGCTGCTCAGCTGTCTCAGATTCAGACTTTCTGAAGTAATTGGGTACCCCTGGACTTGCCATTGCTCCCACCAGTCCCCCTTTTCCACTTTCAGGAGGATCGCAGGCTCTAGAAAGGGCTCCACTGATAGAAACCTACACAGGAGAGGGCTGACCAGAAGCCCTGCTCACCTTCCTCCAGAGCTTTTTGCCCAGGCATTCCTGCTCCCTATTCTTCCTACTCTTTGCCTCAGTTTATACCACCAAATCTGGAAAATGGGCCAACCAGAGTAGTGAGTTTTACTTTCCCTCCCTCCCTCCCTCCCTCCCTTCCTTCCCCCTCCCTCCCTCCCTCCCTTCCTTCTTTCCTTCCTTCCTCCCCCACCCCTTTCTTGTGGTGCTGGAGACAGGACACAAAATTTTATGTATGTTAAGCACACACTCCAATATCAAGCTACATCCCAGCCCTTACCTATGCATTCTTTTAAGAGTCTACGTGACTGTTACAGAAAAACAAGCAAGTCCCATTGCAGTCACTTACACAATGTGTGGTTTTGGTCAATTCTTTTGAGTCTCAGGGTTGACTCAAGCCTGTCACAAGGTTGTTTTCAAAGGTAATACCTGCTTGCAAAATACTTTGTAAAGGAAAAAAAAAAAGGAACATTCTGGAGGTCTTTTGACCAGAAAACTGATGAGAAAGCAGGAAGCCTCCCTAGGCTTTCAGAGAAATGCTTTGTCATATATAAAATTTTGGCTCTGATATGGGAAATAGAGGATGGATGGTGTAGACAAGATGTAAAAAGTCATGTGCCATGAAATCTCAAAATTTGCAGATGTTGAACTCTTATGATTGTGAAATGCTTGGTACTGGGGCTTGGTGCCAGAAGATGCTCACATGGCTGTGTGAATGGGGAGAAAACAGTTCAGGCATTTCCTAAACTGACTCAGCAAGCTGCTCACAGCCCAGAAAGGTTTTGCAAAGTGGTGTCACTTGATGCCCCAGATTCTGGCCATTTGCACATCTGTTGACTCTTCCAAACAAACACTGGGTAATAAGTTATTACCAAATAAAGTATATGAAAGAAAATTACCCACAGCTGGGACCTGCCCACTAACTCCCACTCAGTCCCTGATCCTCCCCAACTCCTGCCAAGACCTGGCTCCTACTTTACAGCTAACCCTAAAATCCTTGCTCCTGAAGCCCTAGACCCAAGATCACCTGTCTCCTGCCATAGAAATACTCATGCCCCGGGGACTAACCAGCCCCTAGAACCCTGGATCATTTTCCCCAAATCCACTTGCTATAGTTTTGTGCAGATGCCTTCAGCTTCAGTGTCTGAAACCCAAGAACCAGTCCTTTCCATTTCTCTGTAGTTTTCCCCTGAAACATGACCTGGTAGCAAGGGCAAGGTGGGATATGGAGGTGGCTTAGCTTTATGATTAGCATGATGTACTTTGCTGGGGCTAGGCTTAAATCTGAGCACTGTCACTGGCATTGGTGGCAATTACTAAGCCTTCCTGAACTTCATTTTTCTTAAGGATAAAACAAGGCAAGGCACTTGTTTTAGGTCTTAGGGCTTCTGTGGAGCTCCCGGAATGTGGGGAAAGTGCTTGAACCAACTCCTAGCATCACAACCTAGAGCTGTATCATGACTATCCCACTTAGTGAGAAGTCAGACTCAGGATGGCTGATTACCAGCGGGAAAGTCAGGACTTTTGAGTCCCAAACCCCACAAACACTACTGAAGGGAAAGGCCATACAGGATAGAGGGAACACAAAAAATGAACTGAAGACTCTGCGGCTTCCCTTGTTCTCAAAATTTCCTGCTAGAGATAAAACCCAAGGCTATGGAGGTTATAAATCAAACCAGTTGATGTCTGGTGGGCCTGACTCTTCTGTATCTATGTGGTGGGGATGGACCCTAGGATGCCTGTCCTGTCCATCTTTGACTTGCTATGCCTTACTATCCAGGGACATCTCTCTGGACACTTGGGGCCATTCCAATCAAAGGAGAAAAGAGGTTTGGACCCATGCCAGATGCACAGGGGGTGGGGATGTGGGCAGGAACAAGAAAAAAAGCCTTTTCCCCACATAGATATATACCTTCCATCCTCCTACCCTGGTGCAGCAAGACTGGAGAGCAGAAGGGTAATACTTAACTAAATTAGACCAACACATACCTTATGACCCAGCAACCCCAAATAAATTCTCACAAAAGTCCACAAGGGCCTTGCTCTTCAAATTGTGGCAGGACCAGCAGTATAAACATCCCCTGGAAGCTGTTGAGAAATGCAAAGTCTCAGGCCTCACCTACCGAATCAGAAACTGCATTTTAATGAGATTCCCAGGTGATACTTGTGTGCATGAATGTTTGAGAAATGCTGTATAAGGGGATATGTTTGAGGATATTACTGCACTGCTCTTGGTAGGAGTAGGAAGATGGAAAGGATAAATATGGGCCAAGGAGAGGCGGCAACATAGATTAGTATTAAAATCTTAGGACTCATGAAAAGAAACCAAATGAGAAACAATACAATTCCTTTTGCATGAACTTAAAACATATGCCAGTAAAACTATGTATATGTATGTGTGTGTATATATATATATGTGTGTGTGTGTGTATATATATATATATACACACACACACATATATATATACACACACATACATGTATATATTTCACAAGAATACATAAAAACAAAAGATAACCAAAATGGCATGGATCACAGTGGCAGGAAAATAGGAATGGGGTGTAGAGGTAAAAGATAATAAAATGAAAGACCTTGCAGAGAAGAAAAATGATGATGTCAACACAATTCCTGAAATTCCTTTTAATGTAGACATAGTCATCCAGTTAGAGTCAAAAGGCTTAAAAATGCAATAGACACGCTGGAATGAAAAAGTTCTAAGCTTTTCCAGTATGGACCAAGAAAGAACTGTCCCACTGACCTGTGTGACCTGGGTGGCTGAGCGGGTATCTTTGCTTGTCCTGCTTGGCTTTATCACCCGGTCTCTGGGCCCTCCCCGCAGCCTGCTCTGATGGGGGCGGAGTGAGGGCGGGATCCAGCCACGTTTTGGCCTGACATGACAGGGTATTAGGAAACCGAGTGGAGGAGGGGTCATCCGCGAGGGCACTGGCAGTCAAGTAAGTCCCGGTCTTTGACTGGACGCACATACCCTTGGGGGTTCCAAGGAGCAGGTGGCAGAGGGCGGGGGGGGGGCGGGGGGGAGATGCCCGGTAGGGCTTCCCTCCGCCCTAAGAAGAGGCTGCAAGGAGAAGGCGCAGCTAGAATGAGGCAAGGTCCTATAGGGCTTCGTTAGGGAGTGCTTGCTAGGGTGCATCCCCTGAGATGATCATCAGTGGCCCACCTGGGGGAAGGAAAAGGGCCCTAGGAAAGAGGAAACTGTGCAGCCCCGGGGAACTTCCAAGGGCTGGCTGCAGGAAGCCGGGAAGGGAGCATTTTCCTTCAGACTTGTGGGTGGTTGGGGTTGAGCGAAGCTGGGAGTGGGATGAGCGGCTCATCAGATCCAGCAGTCAGAGGCTGGAAATGGTGTTATCTGGGAGCTGGAGGCGGCCTGCACAGCCCTGCGAGGATGCTCCAGGATCGGGACGGGGCAGGCAGGCACAGCTGTGCGGGGGAGTGAAAGGATCGCATCCGGTTGCGGGTGCGGGGGGGGGGGGCGGGGCAGGGTTAGGGGGTGGCACGAAGGCAACTGGAGCGCCTAGTCAAACAGTTGCTAACTTGAGGCTGCGGGAAAGTCGCGGTGGGGAATCCCTGCGCAGCATGGGACACTTGAGCCCAGCTGCGAGGTGCGGGGCACGGAGGGCGGCACTGCTCCTTTCCAAGGCTCAGGTGCATGATGGCTGGCAGGTGTCCAGGCTGGAATGTTGACTGTGGGGCATATCCGGAATGGTGAGGGCCTGAGACTGAGAAGGATTGGAGGGCCATAGGTAGCCAGGAAGGTGCTGGTGCTCCTGGAGCATCGGCAAGGCGCGCCCCCTAGAGGAAATCTCTGGAGTTGACAGTGCAAGATTGGGCTTGGTTGGGGGTGGGAGAAAGAGGGAAGAAGAGATGCTGGTCCCACAGACTTGGACACCACTGGGAGTGAGGAGACGGCCCAGGACGATGGAAGGGTATCTGGGACCCACGGTCATAACAGTGACAGCTTCGTTGACGCCTTATCTCTTTCCCTAAGTGTCCAGCTTGGGTCCCCCCTCCAGACAACCAGAGGCATTGAAGCCAGAGACTCATGAGAATCTGGGGAAGGAATAGCACCAATGTAACCTGTTGATTTGTCTCCTACTCTTGTCCCAGTCATGGTCTGATATGATCCCATTTCTTCTGGGATAAAGGGATGTTTTTCAGTAAGGTTCTGTCAGGGTCTGGAGGCACCTAATTTTGGACAAGTCATTTTTTTCTTTCCTGCTCAGCAAACGTTTCCATTTATATTTTGCAAATTTCCTTGCTTTCTTAATACTGATTCCTTGCCTTTTGAATATTTTCCATCTTAACAATAAAAGAACTTGAAAGCTGGGGTTGGGACTCAGTGGTAGACAGCTTGCCTAAGGTGTGATGCCCTGGGTTTAATTCAAAAAATAAAGAATTTAAAACTTGATTATCTGTTGTTTCTACTATATTTTCTGGCCTATACTACCTTCAAATGTCTAACCCAAAATATA